TATTTATTACGTGCATATTTCAAAAGTAAATAAACCCAATCAAATACATTTCTGCATGGTGTATCAAGAGAGAGTATATAAAGTATTTCAAGTTATACCTTCAGGAATACAAATGTGGAAACCGCATCTAAATTGGTGCAATAGTTTTTATGCGATGCCGTAATAAACTTACAGAGAGATAGACAAATAGATAAAATTTCTAAAAACAATTGTTTTATCATCTACTGGTCTTATTATTATCTCTCAGATCGATGTTCTTAAATATCTCGCATGCACAGACAACATCCAGTAACAATTTCTTAATACATATTATTATAATTGTAGTATTTGCCCGTGGCTTCGTCTGTGTAACCAAGATATATTGGTTGATCAGGATAAAGGTTAGCTTTCAATCCAATGCATAATTATTATTATTAATTTAAACTTGTAATTAAAAAAATATTTAAAGATGAAAAAATTTCTGTGAGATCACTGCCAGCTGGTAGAGTGCCTAGGATACTTGCTGCATTTCCACGCTGAATAGCAATGGAAATGCATTACAAACAACAAAGTATAGGCCAGCCTTCTGGTCACCAGAGATTTCCACCAGCCAGCGTGTAATCTCTTTGAAAAGATTCATGGCCTAGGGGCCCCACGGACCCAGAGATGCATGCATTGAATGCATGCATTATGTATCATTTATTTTGTTATGAATTTAATGCCGATTTTTTATTGGATGATAATGGAATGGTAACCCCGCCCGCGCTAATGGTATACGCTGGCGAGGTACCAGGGAGGCATGATAGGTGAGGATTAAAAGACAAGTCAGCTCATCGTGATGAATACACCAGGAATTCAGCACGATGGTTTCCAGGGGGAATCACTTGAAGGTCGACCTGACAAGGTATATTGCTAGCAATGAGGCTGAGAGAGAAAGAGAGATAGAGAGATTGAGAATCAGAGGAAAGTACCTTGGACATTGTAAATTTGAGTGTGTTTATATTAGATATTGTAACGTCTTTATGTCAAAGGAAGTTATTTAACTATCCACTGAGATACAGGCTCGGCCTAGTTCGGTGGGCAGTAGATCTAACTGAATGTATGTAATTTATTATTCAATAAAGACAGTTATTATTAAAAAAAAAATGAGACTGGTAGTCCACATTACTAATTATCCCATCCCCCTCCCGCCCCCCATTTAATGTCAGTAAGTTGAAACGTTACACTGTCAAGGGATAAGAAACAACCAGGGGTAGACTTTCAACAAAAATCGTTTGCTTGGGTACCTCTTTCCCATTCGTATTTCAACCGTAAAGCGGTCGTGTTTGCATGGCTGTTCTTCGATTTGAAGGGTGAGATATGGCGTGAATTTACTGAGTACAGAGGAATAACACCTGAGTCTTCAAGAATGGCAACGCATGGAGGATATCATGGGCGAAACAGTATCCTCCATGTTATGTCCATGGTACTGCTCATGTCTATAGGCGATGGTTACCACTTTCTATTAGGTGGGCCGTTAGCTTGTTTACCATTCTAAGTTGTATAAAAAAAACAAGTTCATTTTCAATTTAATAATATTAGTAGAGATATTAAAAAATGTTGTTTATGTATACACAATATATATATATATATATATATATATATATATATATATATATATATATATATATATATATCGTATGAAAACCTATCAATCATCGTTGCTAATCCTATAAGAACATTAAATAGCAATAATAAAATGAATCAACCAGCGCGATACGCAGTACTCCGGATTGTCTGACTGCGCAGTTTGTTGGGACACCACAATCGCAGATAAGTTGGCAGTGTTGTCTTTTAAATTCTTTTAAATTAATCACAGATATAATTTGTTTTATTTTTATTTATTTATTTATTCTTTAGTACAGGACACGTGTACAAGGCGAAGTTGTTATGCTAAAAGTATTCTCACCCAGTTAAACCTTGGGATTTTTCTATCTGCGTGTCCTATTTTTATAACTATATAAATTTTTATCTATACACTTACATATGTAACGGGAAATTAATGAATTTACTGTGCCGTTTCTAACAATTGTTTCGACTTCATTCAGAAGTCTTCTTCTGAATTCGGCACACGATAGGCTACCCCTTCCTTATCCGTGGGTATCGTAAGAGATAACTAAGTCAGAGCGAGAGATGAGTAGCAGCATCTCTTTTAAAATATTTCCAAAGCCTAACTACAGTTGCCAGTCCACTTGGCAAGCGTGGAAACTACTAGAAACAGGGGGAAAGCGATTGTTAGTAATGGAGATAGAATCTCATTGCTAGCAATATACGTAACCAAGTCGACCTCTTCGCGGTTCCCCTGGAAACTATCGTGTTTAATCCCTGATGAATTCATCATGATGGGCTGACTGGTCTGTTTTCATTCTCATCTATCCTTCACCTTCACTGGTGCTCCGCCAGTGTATGCCGTTAGCGCGGGCGGGGTTACCATTCCATTTTCACACATCCAACGCAGTAGGTCGTTGTGTCGACTCGTTATCTCTTGCTCAATCTATTTCGGATGGATTCGCGGACCATTATGATTGCTTCTAGGGACCACAAGCGGTATATATACGTACTAACGGTTAAGAAGCACTGTTTTAGAAACTTCGTATTACATGAATAATAAGAAGCAGAAATATCTATCGTAAGACACTTGACATAAGTAACATGAAAAATCCAACCAATTAACAAGCCCATCAAACCATTTAAATAATTACGGGCCATAAAATTCGTGAAAAAAATGCAAACATGATAATAAAAATTCAATAAAAATAACACACGTAATTTATAAATGTATTATGTAAATTCCTTTATAGACAGTTTTAAGAAAAACTTAAAAATTGCTGTCCTCCATAATATTATCTATCGAAGTATCCTTGTGATAAATACGACAAAAAAAATCACATACATCGATAAATTGTAGGAAAATTACCAAAGTTTCAATACGTTAGATATAGTTTATTTATATAACATCCGATATAAGTATGCACGGAATATTATGTAAGCGAGTCTTACTCTTATTGGTTGTTTATTTTTACGAAATAGCACGACATGTGAACTTAGAAGTTCGAGGTTAAGTAGTCGTAACTCTATCAACTTAGTAACTTAGTCAATTGTTAAAGAGTACATCTCTTTGTGGCTTTTACTCTTGTAGGAATTTTAGTAAATTGTAAAAATACTAATATTATGTTTAAAAAAAAACATAGCGACTTCAAATATCTCAAAAGACATCGATGACAACTACATCTTTCGTAGATACATTGGAATAAAAATACTTCAATTCAGAACATGGGATTGTTTGCTCACAAGTAGATTTTTTTGCTCTGCATAGAAAACTAACGCAACCGTCACAATAATAATATGTTACAAAATAATATAAAATTAAACCCTATCTTCTAGAAATATTATCAAAATCATAATTGGGGATGAAATCATGAAATCTCGTGGCAAAGTAAAAATATACAGAAATAAAACTACATTTTGGAAGAATTTTTTATTTATCAAAACTCTTCGGCTGATATTTGATTGAATAGTTTCAGAGAACTTCCCAATAAAGAGTTACCAAGAGATAGACACGTATCGGCTGGTCACACATTTACAGGAATCGATAACTCTAGATAAGTGACGAGCGAATTCATTGTAAAATCGTCATCATGCGTGAGTCTGTGAGACAGAAAGGGATGGCAACATCCGATGTCTCATTCCAACACATAGACTCGCTAGTGATAATTACTCCATTGATGGATTCGTTTGCTATTTATTTATTGTAGCTGATATAAAAACGTTCTAAAGTGACAACGTGCTGAAGAAGGGCCAAATTAAAAGTACCCGTAACCGGCGAGCGTGTATGAAAAGATTGATGAATGTGGAAGAAGCGAAAGAGGTTTGTTTGAATCGAAGCATTTGGCGTTCCATTGTTTCTGCCTACCCTAATGGGAGACAGGCGTGACAGATATGTATATATGTATGTATGTAGTGACAACCCTATTGACTCTTCCTTAAAAAAATATTGCAAAAGTATTATATGAACTTGATTGCATGTGGCTCAGGATCTTGGGGGGAAACATAACATCAATTATTTATCTATATTTCATTGCTAAATATAGTTAGCATTGAAAGATAGATAAATAATTGATGATGACAGTCCAATAGATTAGATGGAACAGATTAGATCAGGAATGGCAACGCATGAGGGGTATCATGGGCGACACAGTATACTCTGCTATGTCCATGGTACTGCTCATGTCTATAGGCGACGGTTACCATTTTCCATCAAGTGGATCTTTAGCTTGTTAAGTTGCATAAAAAAAAAATATTGAAACAAAAAATTATCAAATTGTATAAATTGTTGGAAGCTAAACATTCCGAGAGTATAATAAATTAAATGACGGACATATCTGCATACATTTTTGCTAACTCACGCATGAGACAGTGCGAGACGGTAGACATGCTGTCTCGTTTTGTCTCATTCGTAAGCGTATGTAGTAAATTTATTTATTTACCACTTATGTAGAGAGTGTAGATGTTCAGTGCTTACTTACTCAAGTGAGTCATATAAAACTCAGGCACTAGGGAGTAATACTCATAATTTGACTACTTCCGGGTACTCGTAATAGATTAGTTAGATATCAGTGCAGTTATCATCGAACATTCCAAGCTTGATATTGATAAAGTCAAGCAAATCGGCCGGGGACAATTTGTACTTATGGTAACAGTGTTCTGTACTACAAAATGTACTACAAAATGTACTAAAAAAAACCTTTATAATAATTATTTAGGTAAAAATATTACTTTCTGGCAGTGTATTAATTTAAGAGGACGACAACGGTTTAGATTCCACCCTGTTCTATTCGATAGAAATGTTGTAAAACATTGAAATATAGGAAAGTTATCTAAAAGTAAAATTACTGAGTTCTAGTGCCTGTGTTTAGTTCCAGGAGCACCATTGCTGAGTTTTAATATTAGTGTTTAGTTTCAGATGTACCACTACTGAGTTTTAGTGTTAGTATATTTGTTACGAATGACTGTACATATCATATATGATAGATAAGTATTACGTGGTATAACTACGTAATAATTATAATTTTATGAAGGATATTGGTTTATTATATTGTACAGTGATGATAAGGTTTAATGATGTCAATCAGTTTGATTTAAATATTTTTTTATTACTACAACGTTATAAACGAATCATTACTTCCACATCAATGCCATTTGAAATTACATTAAAATTATCTATTTTACAACAATATTTCTTCATTAAGATGACTTATTAAAAAAATATATTAAATTAAACACTCCAATAGCACTTGAGCCCATATTCGTAAGTTAATTTAACTGAAGACATTTAAAGTTATGCCCAGAAACGAGTATTTATTCATTATACATAATTTTTTTTACACATTTTACATTAATAAATTTATTGTCTAGTTGTATCACTAATTACGGATAAAACAATGTATCACAATTGTGATTTAGTAGATAAATTAAGTACTATCAGTTTTATAATGAACGTCATTGGTTCCGACTTAAACGCCATCTGTCGCATTATAAACAAACAATCAGCTTGTAACCTTAAATTACATGAGGAATGTACAATTTTTAATGAGACGTTATTATACATTTTACAATATAAAAAATAAGATACAATTGTAACAATAAGTATTATAAAACTTACAAATATTGTAACTACCTAGTGGGAGACGCTAAGTTTTTGCTCACGGTTACTTTCTAAATATAATTGTAATGATATATGAACATACATTAAACTTACAAATATTTGTAATTTGTAATAAACATTACATCTTCTCTCATGTTACGTCTGTAAATATAATTATAATAACATGTATTATTAAAATTGCAAATATATGTAAGTAGTAAGAAACAATGTGAATTCACTTCGTTTACGCGGAGTCTTCTTTTGTTTTTGTGGAAATTTCCACAAAACATATAGTCCGTAGTACTCAGAAATAGAACGACTTTCATTTAATGAAAAAAATATTTACAATACATTTAATAAATCCTTTTAATAAACAAACAAAACTAGATAAACAAGCGAACAAATTTTACCTGATTAGAGTATTAGTGTAGACTCTCCCACTAGGTTTGAGGTTATTTGGATTTTTCGTTAATCTAAGAGATCATTTTACTTATCAGCTACAAATTTATTTATTTATATTTATAAAAATTATATATAAAAATGTAAAAAATACACTTAATGAAATAGAATTATACTATTTACACAAAAATTAAAAATAAAATACGAACTTTTTACATGGAAACTGAAGTTGTTCCTTTACATGTTACAAAAATATTTTTTTTTTAAATTCAATTAAATGATATTTGTATAAACATAAAATTTATGCATTTTATAATTTTCATATTATATAAAATCAATTTACAAAAACAAATTATTGAAAATTTGGTTGCTTCATTTGAATAGTTAATATAATTTTACATATAAGAAAATTCAATATAATTAAAAAAAAAAACTCAGTACAAAAAGTAACCTACATCGTTAAAATTAATAAATTTAATATATTTGTGCCCAACGTGGGTGCAAAAAATTTACAGATACGTTTCTTGGAGCGAGCTGTTTTTGCTGTAACTTGACTAGTAACGTTAATGACACGGTCGATATTGAATATATTGCTCTCACCTTGTCATCTGCAATGTAATTATCAGTAAAGTCACCAGTTTTCATTGTCTCCAAGAACCATTGCAGAAAGTCGTTTATATCATTCTGTCTCAAATGTTTCATCGAAAGTCTTTCCCTCCAGTAATCGTTCTTTATTCGGGATGTTGAGCTTGCCAAGGACAAATACAATACTCTCCCATTATCCGCCAACAACGGGAACAGAATTTCTTGAACGTTCACATAACCATAATAGTAATTGTTGATGATAAACTTAGCGTCTTCATATGTCGTGTTGCTCAACCTCGCTCCTATGGCAACGTTATTAATTAATGTCACTATAGATCCATTTTTCGATTGAATATGATCCCTGAATCTGATCACACTTTCTCTGTCAGTAACGTCGAGCTGATGATACTCCGGGTACGTGCCCATTTCCTTCAATTTTTCCATAATCTGTTGGCCCACTTCTATTTCTCGCGTGGTCACGTAGAATATATCTGGACATCTTCTACACAGAAGTCTACAAATATTAAGGCCGACACCTTTGTCCGCGTCCGTTAAAACACAAATTTTCTGCATCGTGGCTGCCCTCCACGAATGTCTGTACGAATCTAATGAGGTTTAAAAAAATTAGCTATCTCATGATAACACTTATCAACAACTGGTTCGCTTAATGATAGCAACATACCTACGCTGCGCGTGCGCAATAGACCATAGAGATATTGTCGGGAAATTAAGGGAGTAGAAAAATACTCGAATCTTTCCATCTCGTCTAGTCACACTAGTATTCGTAGTGTGTCCAAAATATGGTTGAATTTTCAAAATAGAATTACAACAAACATGAGTTTTATTGGTGAATTTAAACGCCTGTCATTCATGTTACAATTTTAATTACCTATTTCCCTAATTGCTATCTATAAAATTGTAGGCGCTTATCAAATAAATTTCATAGGGACAAAAATATAATTAACCAATATTTTTGTATAGTAGGTAATTAAAATTTAGGTGAAAAGGAAAAAATGAAAATAAAACGTGTTTTTGTAATTTATTTAAACTGTGTACATTACTTTTTAAAATGAAAAAAACGAATACCATACACTCGTGTGTAATAATTATTTATTGTATTAATTTTATAAAAACTAACATCTACATAGTTTCACTAAAAACAAATTCTATAAAATTAGAGAGCCAATTATAGGTTTTTACAATACTAATAATAAGCATAAAATCATCAGTAAAGTTATTAAAAATGACACGTAATATTGAAGTTATCTATTTGGTTGACAGCGTTATCATATCAAATTATAATGTTTACTTGTATTCACTCGTACAGATAATAACAAGCGAGATATGCGACAATTAATATAAAAAGCCATTTACTGGTAATGATATTTTTTACAAACTGTCTGGGCACAGACGCGTATTTGAAATAATAATCAGTATTGTAATCGAACCAGTCTATAACGCGCCTGTCGAACCAAATGTATGCGCCTCTCAAACTCGGAGGAGCTTCGAGCACTAAATATATTGGGGTTTCAGCTGCTTGGTCCGGAGTGAAAAATCCTATCCGTGCCGTCATATCGGTGGACACTAACCCGGGATGCATAGAATTAACACTTATATTCCTAGACGCGAGATCCTTTTGTTGTATCATTGTTAAAGCACTAATCGCTACTTTCGACACTCTATAGGAAGCAACACTTCCATAATCAGCAATATCACTCCTTTTGAATGTTCCATTTCTCACTGCATCCAAATACCACTGCACAAATTCATCGATGTCGTTTCTTGTAAGAGCCTTATTGCATAGTCTATTACGCCAATATTCGTTTTTAACATTGGACAGGTGTCCACAGTCACTCGATATGTTAAGTACTCGAGCGTTGTCTCTCAACAGCGGGAAAAGTAATTCTTCTATAGTTAGAATACCACCGTAGTTGATATCGATGACTTCCTTATGGGCGTCATAGCTGTCGGTGAACTTGGGAGCGACACCAGCGTTGTTTATAAGAATATCTATCCCGCCGCGTGTATCTTTAATATGGTCTCTGAACCTGATAACGCTATCCCGATCTCCGATGTCCAGTTGATGGTATTCAGGGTGTAGGCCTAATTTGTTTAGTTTTGCAATAGCCGCCTTCCCCTTGGCCACATCTCTACAAGTCAAATATACAACTCCATCGAACTTTTGGCATAGACCCTTCACGATTCCAAAACCAATACCCTTATTGGAGCCGGTCACAACAGCCACTTTGTTACTCATGTCTTCCTTTAGCGAATGTTAGATTTTTACTAATGAAAAAGAATCAGGTCAAAGTGACACAAAATTGTGTAAAGTCTACAATATCTTATCTCTTCTGTAATAAATTGTGATTAGATTGTGTACTTAGGCGTCGTTTACATTGTTGTGTCCGCTAATTTACTCGTACAAAAAGAGCAGCTAATTTAAGATTAGCTGAACTAATGTTTAAATGTTATGGTAGCTCTTATATATTGTAAGGAAACATGGTAAAGCTGCAGTTATGTTATAGATATTTTTATGTAATTCAGAATGGCAAACAAGCTGACGGCCCACCTGATGGAAAGTGGTAACCGTCGCCTATAGACAATGACACATATTTATTGATGTTATGCTAATTTTTATTATATATTTATATAGAGAGAAATATTGAGATTTAAGACTTTCGACTCAAAAATGATTGTGTAATTTTTATAGGTGATTAACAGCAGAATATGTGTGATGATGGTTGATGCCCAGCGATGATAGCGAAGTGTTATAAAACATGTTTTTTTTTTAAATTTCCAATTACTTCCATATAAAACACTGATCGTAATCTTTACTTGAATATCGTACTTTCTATTTATACAAATATCAATTACGTCATGAAAAAATATAATATATATTTTTTTTATTTTCGTGTTATTTCCTTTTTTTTTATAATTTTATGGAAATCTAGTTAGAATGTGTTGAGCGAAATATGAATAACTTGAAGAGAAATATAAGATATATTAAAATACAGTAGGTAAATTTGTAACAATTACTTTTTTTATTGTTAGGTAGGTAAACGAGATAGCGGTCCACCTGATGGATAGCTACCGTCGCCTATACCTTTTATTTTTCTTTAATCACTTTAATAAAATTAGGATATTATATGAGTTTATGTTCTGAGATTCACCAGACAGGAAGACTTTGTACAAAAGTCGTTTGATTACGTACCTCTGTTCCATTCGTGTTTTTACCGCGAAGCAGCTGTGTTTGCATGGCTATGTTTCGGTTTGAAGGGTGGGATATGGCAGTAAATTTACAGGGTACAGAGAAACGACACCTGAGTCCTCAGGAATAGCAACGCTTGGGGGGTATCATGGACGAAATAGTATACTCTGTTATGTCTACTGCTCATGTCTATAGGCGACGGTGATCACTTTCCATCAGGTGGGCCGAGAGCTTGTTAGCCATTCTAAGTTGCATAGAAAAATAACAATTTGATTTACTTGTATGCATAATAAATTAAATAACTTTGTGATCTGTTAAAGAGGGGGAAAAATATTGAAAAAGGTCGTGTGAACATGGATTTATTTTACAACTAGTAAAATTATCATTGCCACTTACTGTCAGAAAGATAAATGAAGGCCAAAGGTTGTGAACTTCAAATAACCTGGAAAAATGTATAACTATCACAATACACTGCATAAGATGTGAGAAGTGTACGGTGATTTAATTTCGTCACAATGGGATTAATATAGGAAAGAACCTTAATATATAATTTTAGTATTTATGTATTTCACACTTCCTTATGGTTGACTGGGAGAGAATGCTTTTAGCATTAAGTCCGCCATGTACACATATTTGTACTAATAAATAAATAAATAAATAAATAAACCTTAATGTTTGTAGAAAGAATCATCATGATCATTTCGGAATTTTCAACGATATCGCGTAACGAGTAGAATAAAAAATCTTTTTAAAATCCTTTTAAATATTATTTTAATATCAAGCAAGTGTTCGGCATACTTTTCTACAATCCAACAAAGCATTTCCTGAACAAAAATAATTTATCTTAATCGAAAATTAATTGTAATCCTAATAAAGCTACTATTTCCTTAAACCACAAACGGAATGCGACTAACCATCTTTGATATTCTATCAATAATTCATCAGAAACTGGACTCTAATATTGATACAGATAATCGAGACTTAATAACGACACCTATTAATAATACCCTTTTTGTTATATATATATAACATATTTCAAACAATTGTTTACATTTTAACCCTGATTTTGGGAATATTTATATACGTATTTATGTTAGTGTAAAAGCATTGGTATATTAATTAATTAACTATATTATACAATATTAATCCTTTCTAATTATTTCAGATTATTTTCAGCTTCAGAAACTTCGGAGATATGGTGGTAAATGGTTTTTTTTTTCTCACATTTTAATAGGTTAATTTTGAAATGTTTCAAATAATTTTAAATTTCAAATATGTAGTTTTGGTAGTTGTTGAAATATATCGCTGTGGCAGATGGACGGACGGACGAACGGACAGATGAAAGGATAGACGGACGAAGGGACGAATATTTTATATATTAAAAGAAATTTAAAAAATTATAGAAAATTTATGTATACCATTAATTTTGCTACAATCTGACAGGATACTTAACGCCATTAAATATTTTAAATGGGAAATTTTAAACAAAAAAGTCACAATAGTAACAAATAAAATTTAGATAAGGCGTACGTCTTCACTGACGTTTTAATAATTATTTAATATTATATTTATAATTTTAAAATTAATTAATCAAGATTTACTTGTCAATGATTCTAATTTAAAATAGTAGTCGCCATTAAAATCATACCAGTCGACGACTTTCCCATCATACCATACGTATGCTCCTTTCAAATTCTGAGGGGCATCTAGTACTAGGTACAGTGGTACTTCAGCGGCTAGATCAGTACTATAGAAACCAGCACCGCGGGTCATGTCTGTTCTGACTAATCCTGGGTGCATAGAATTCACAGATATGTTCCTAGAGGCTAACTCTTTCTGCTGCAATGTCGTTAGAGCACTGACAGCAATTTTTGATACTCTATAAGCTGCAACAGTACCTTCATCTACCATATCTTCTCTTTTAAAAGTTCCATTCTTCGATGACTCCAGATACCAACTTACAAATTCATTTATATCGTTCAACGTCAAATCTTTCTTAGATAATCTATCTAACCAATATTTATTTCTCAAATTAGAAAGATGGCCACAGCAACTTGAAATGTTTAGCACTCTTCCGTTGTTTCTTATCAAGGGAAACAAATATTCTTTAATTGTCAAATGGCTGTAATAGTTTATATCAATTATATATTTGTTTTCTTGTACGTTGAACACTGCAGCATTGTTTATCAAAATATCGATACCGCCATATTTTTTAGATGTTCACTAAATTGAATAACACTATTTTTATCTGCTACATCTAGCTGATGATATGCTACTTGCAAACCTTCTTTCTTCAAAGCATCCACGACAGTTTTACCTCTGTTAACATCTCGGGATGTGAAATATACAACTCCATCAAATCTCTTACAAAGACCTTTAACAATAGAGTAACCGATACCTTTATTAGATCCGGTTACAATAGCTACTTTATTCGACATGGTTAGTGCTTTAGACTGTACTATAGAATGACTGGATTTTGTGCAGTTATCTGAATTATATACAAATAGATATCATTGTAAAGGTCAAGTTTTTGGGTATTTCTGATATGCACTGAAATTTCTTTGTATGTTTCTCTATCCAAATATTGTTTGTTAATAAATTATATTAAAGATTATTGCTTTATAATTACATTTTATACAATAACTTTTATCCATATTACAACCATTGATATTATCAATTAATAATATAAAATCATCACAATCATTACAATAAAGTTTAATGAAAAAGCAATAACTGCTTGTGTTGGAAACAGGCAACTAGTTAAATCTCTAAAATAGATATAGTCGCTGTTTTTTGTCTGTTTATTTCTTTGTTTTTTCTTCTAAACCATGCAATGGAGATTGATGCGGTTTTCACTGTCCTTTAGAGAATTTCTTCTGCAAGTTTTATATGTATAATATATGCATAATATAGTGCAGATAATATGAAAATTCCAAAGTTTTGTGATTATATTATAAAAATGATGTTTTTGGGTGCTTACATTACCAATGCTGGCTAAACCTCAAGAGATTTATCAAAATAATATACTAATAATATACAAATATATACTTTAAAAAGGTCTATAGAATGTTCTGCGATTATATATATTTAACTGCTAAGTATAGCCCATAGTGATCATTTTTATTTTTTACATATTCTATCTATCTATCCTATTTAAGAGCTGCGCTCTTGTCGGTGGAGCTCTTGCCACTCACTACGATTTACAACGAGTCTCTTCACCTCTTGATACGACACGACACCAACTCCTTCCAAGATCTGCCTCATGTAACTATGCTTTGGTCTCCCTCTTCATTTCCCTTCTGCTTTTACATATTACTAAAAAATAATGGGCTAATCACAAAGCTATTTTTTTAATACAAAAAATGAATCCTTTTACAATTAAATTCATAACATATGCTGTGCGTTTAATAATAACTCTAGGTTATGACCAGTTGAGAGCAGACAATCCAGATACATTGCATATGTTTGCTCATCTTTTATTTAAACCAAGTATTATTAAAAAGTTTAATGCCTGTAGAAATCAGTGACGGGGTCTTAGGCCATATACGAGTACTTTGTTTTAAGGATAGAGCAATTCTGTTATCTGCTAACAAACAAGTAAGCGAGGTAATAAAGAGTAATTTGACTCTCTCAAAAGTTGAAGCACTGACATGTATTCTAAATGTAGACAGTGTGATTAGTCTTAAAGATGTTGTTCATTTCAACTACAGAATTTCTTAAATCCTTACAATTCTTTGGAAATAAATTGTTGTTGAATTATGAAACCTTAATCCACCCAAATTGTGTAATTTTACACGTTTAAAAGCGAAATCCTTAAAGACCTTTTCAATACTGCTCAGATATGAAACTGGAGAAGTTGTTTTAATTCCTCGAATTCCCTTAATGCTCACAGACTTACCATTTTTATTTCAAGAATTTCTGGAAATTGCATTTCCAGTAAAACTATCTTTTTCAATGACCATTAATAAATAATAGGGTTAAATATAAAAGCTTGTCGTTAATTATCTTTTCAATAGAAATTGCACTGAGTAAAGACGTGACCATTATTTATGCCATCTCTGACTTATCATACCACTTGGGCCGAGAGGTCAGTCAATGAATCTAAATCAGCTAAGCAACATTTTAAAAATAATACCACATTTTTTTCATCTAAAATACTGCAGTCTTTAATTTCTTAATTAAACGCAAACAGCAATTAAAATCTTTAATTTACATCGCGGTTTGTGTTGCTTATACGAGTAAAGCATTATTTAACTAAAATAGTTATATCAGAACATCTAACGAGCTTAGCTCAGATCTGTCTGATTACATAGCTTAAACAATAAATAAAAGATGGTAAAGAATAATTCTGAATTGGTAAATGGATAATGATAGTGCGGAGCAAACTACCACGAGATGAAGTTTAAAAATATTGCAGAGTCGATGGATTCATTTCGCTTAATGGTATTTTATGATGAAATTGGGGAGAATTATATTTAGCCGTAAGCGATAAGTGGGTTGCAATCATGATGATAAATGCTTTTAAAGTAATCTTGATCATCTAGAGATATGATATTGCAACAGTGTACTATCGACTATAACGTTTTAAAAATTTGGTCCTACAATTAACTAGCATTATAATAAAAACACCTTGAATAATTACAAAATATATTAAAAACATTATAATACGCAAAACTCGTATTATAAATATGCTCAATTCTCATTATTGGTTAAGCTATTCCTTAAGTGAAATTTCCTTGGTCTGGTGGAAGAAGCAACTCGCGGAAGTTACCGACCCGCAGAAGCTGTTTGGAGTACTTGCCGGTGACGTGGATGATAGAGGGAAGCCTTCTATCCTTAGGCGGCTGCTAGTGCTTTCTTTTAACTTAAATTAAAGAGGAACTTCTGTTCCTGAGCTTCGTTTATCAAATAGGACGATATGTTCTATCCTTAAATTTGTTATTTCTTCTTAAGCAAAAAATTTAATCAATATTACATACATACATACATATCTGTCACGCCTGTCTCCTATTAGGATAGGCAGAAACAATAGAACGCCAAATGCTTTGATTCAAACAAACCTCTTTCGCTTCTTCCACATTCATCAATCTTTTCATACACGCTCACCGGTTACAGGTACTTTTAATTTGGACCTTCTTTAGCACGTCGCCTATTTGGTCGACGTACGTTCGTCTAGGGCGGCCCTACCGACATCTTCATTCATTCTTGCTCGATAGATCTCTTTCGTAATTCTTCTTTCATCTATCCTCTCCAAATGACCAAACCAACGCAAATTCCTTTTTCGATTTTTGTCACTACATCGTCTTTCAGTCTACACTTCTCTCTAATCACACTGTTTCTTATATTAACTAATTATATTACCTATAATATTAAAATTTTGATAAATTATTTCCCTGCTGGTCAAATGCAGATCATCAAGCCGTTATAAAATTTAACAATATGAGCAAGAACATGAAACAGGGCTGTGTTCTATATAGATGCATCCATTCAATGCGCCCTTCCTATTAAATTAGAACTGCCGTTACTTGGTAAGAGAAGGCGCGAGCTATGTAATCATCTGTCAATGCACAAATAGAATATAAAATATATCGGATAACATTATTGAACAACTAGGTGCCGTGAGTCAAAAATCTGCTACGGATGGTGTCGAATGAAACAGCTACAATTCAGTAGGAATGATAGGAAATTTTGATTAATTCTCTCTAAGGACAGGTCATCAAAACAAAGGAAAACCTTAACAGCAAAAATTATTCTGCTAACAACGCCATCTAGTATCTGTTCTCAAACTAAATTTTCAATATGGAAATGCATTTCTTAAACAATTGTATATTATATGTTACACAATAGACTCCCAGTTAGCACTGGTCGCAAAGACTTCTTCACTTGTTCCTACAAGTGGCTTTATCAGTTTTATATTAATCATAAACATGACAAAGAAATTATTCGACTTGACTTTAGTCTGTCATTTTCCATTTACCCTTTTCATGAAAATACTCAAGATACCTTAAGCAGAAATAAACAAGTCTCAACCAGGAAAATACTACTTTGCAGACACAACCAGACTACCAGAGGGAGACTTTGTACAAAAATCGATTGTCCCATTCGTGTTTCAACCATGAAGCAGTTGTGTTCACATGGCTGTGTTTTAGTTTGAAGGATGGGATATGGCGTGAATGTACTGGGTACAGAGGAATAACACCTGAGTCCTCAGGAATGGCAACGCGTGGGGAGTATCATTGGCGAAACAGTATACTCTGTTATGTCCATGGTACTGCTCATGTCTGTAGGTGACGGTTACACTTTCCATCAGGTGGGCCGTCAGCTTGTTTGCCATTCTAAGTTGTATAAAAAAAGGAAAATACTACATTGCAGACACAAAGACAACAAAGTCAGTATCAACGTGTAAGTTATATTTATATATGTTGTTCTAGTCGATCCATACTCGATCGCTTTTTGAATATTTTTATATGTAATCATATTCAGAGCATGAATTATGTCAACAGGATATCGACACCTATCATTACACGAACAATTAGTGCCATGGATATTCACGATAATACCATACGAGTAATTGTCTTTGGTTATACGATTACGGTTTGTTTACGAAATAATATACACGGTATATACGTTTTCACATTATTTAGTAAACAAGGTCATAATCTTAATGGCGTGACCTGTATCGTTTGCTAAATAATTGGAATTATTAAAAGATGTCGTATTCGACAAATTCAAAAAACTTACCTACAATTTAACAACAGATTTTTATAATATATTAGGTTTTGTCAGCGACTTCGTCCGCGTGACTGGTATATATTTTTGACCGAGATAAATAGTGACCTTTGTCCTCTTTCACCCATTATAGTACATGTATACCAAATATTACAGAGATCATAAGGTTACGAACAAACTGACTTTTACATTTATATTATTAGCAAGGATAAAACTTTTATTGTTACAATATATAGATGCCCTTTTATGCGACTTTATTTAAATACGTAATTTATTAAAGAAATATATTAAGATAGAAAAAAAAACTAATGCTAAAGGTTTTAAAAATTATATTTTGCACAATATTTACAAATATATATACCTCAATTTACCACAATATTGTTAACTTAATTATTACACAATTGCAGGAAACTAATATTTCATCTTCAATGTTTTACTCTTGAAATAGTAATCGGCGTTGTAGTCATACCAATCAAGAATTTTCCTATCGTACCACACGTACGCTCCCTTTAAATCTTGGGGAGCATCTAGCACCAGGTACAATGGGGTCTCAGCAGCTTGATCAGCGCTATAGAAACCAGCACCGACTGTCATATCTGTTCTAACCAATCCTGGGTGCATAGAATTCACTGATATATTTCTCGATGCCAACTCTTTCTGTTGTAATATGGTCAGAGCACTCACAGCGACTTTTGAAACTCTATAAGCTGCAACAGTACCTTCATCTGCTATATCTTCTCTTTTGAATGTTCCATTCTTCGACGATTCCAGATACCAACTGACAAATTCATTTATATCGTTCCGGGTCAAATCTTTTTTTGACAACCTGTCTATCCAATATTTATTTCTGACGTTTGAAAGGTGTCCACAATCACTTGATATATTCAACACTCTTCCATTGTTTCTTATCAATGGGAACAAATATTCTTGTATCGTTAAATGACTGTAATAGTTGATGTCAATTATATATTTGCTCTCTTCATAGGTGTTGTAAAGTTCCACGCTGTTTGCCACTGCAGCATTGTTAATCAGAATATCGATACCGCCATGAGTTTGTCTGAGGTACTCACTAAATTTGATGACGCTATTCTTATCTGCAACGTCTAGCTGGTGATATGTTGCCTGTAAACCTTCTTTCTTCAAGTTTTCCACAGCAGTTTTACCTCTGTTTACATCTCTGGAGGTCAAGTATACAACTCCGTCAAACCTCTTGCAAAGTCCCTTGACAATGGAATATCCAATACCCTTATTAGAGCCGGTGACTACAGCTACTTTTCTCGACATATTTAACGATTTATGGTGAGATGTAAAATGACTGGAGTTGCGTGAAGTTATCTCTGTTATATACAAAATGTTATCGTTATCATAAGGTCATGTTTATAGTGGTTTCTGATATTGACCAAAAATATATGGATAATTCCTCGACGTTTCGATAACAAAAACATATAAAGTCACGATAGCAGAAGAGTTCCTAGGTATCTCTCCTAGCAGGAAAAAAATCGTAATATCACAACGACATTTGTCATGCAAAGTTATATTTTATTGTTTCATTTCCGACAAAGGAGCGGCTTCCTTTGATTTTGAGACGTGATCTTTTTAAGCACCGCAGTCTTATATCATAAAACAATATTGAACAATAAATATTTAAACGCTATATTGGAACGTCAAATACAAACCATATACTTGTTATTAATTTATAACTCGGTAACAACAGAGTTTTAAAAACATTTTTGATCAAGAATACTTTGTAGCTTTACTTTGAACGTTTACAAAATCAATCATGAATATACATATATGATACGTCGCTTTGTTATTTCTTTACAATTTAAATAATTGATATGTATGTATGTACTCTAGGTTGTTTTACAAGTAGTAACAATAAATATATATCCTATTCTTTATTTTTTATGCAACTTAGAATGGCAAATATTCTCTTAATATTTATGCATAAATCACTTAATGAGAAATTAATAAGTATGAATATGCACTTAATAAACTGTTTGAAAAGATTTTTTTTATACAAACAAGCTGACGGCTCACCTGATGGAAAGTGGTAACCGTCGCCTACAGACATGAGCAGTACCATGGATATAACAGTCTTACAACACTCCTATACACTCGTCCTCTTCAATCTATTTAACATTAGAATCTATTTGTAGATATATCGTTGTTAACCATACAGTAATTATACATAATACTGTTGAATATAAATAGGATTTTTGAAAAGAAATTTGTTGATTTATTATTGTAATATAAAACACTGTACATTAGGGAGGAAAAAGATTGTTAGCAATGGAGTTTGACAGCCCCATTGCAAGCAATATGCCCTATTAGGTCGACTTCCACGCGGTTCCGCCTGGAAATCATCGTGAACAATTCTTGTTGAATTCGTCACGATGGGCTAACTGACCTGCTTCATCCTCACCTATCATCCTTCACTGGTGCCCCGCCGGTGTATACCGATAGCGCGGGTGAGGTTACCATTCCATTATCACACATTAAAAAAAACACTGTACATTAAGCTAATATAAAACATTCTACTAAAGGATTAAATAAAGAGAAATTATATAGGATGAATTAAAACTAGAAAACAATGGTATCATACATACATTTGTACAGTTACAATCTTGTTTATTATTTTGAAACATTCCTTTAAATATTAGTATAGATAAACCAGCTTTCCATCAGGTGGGCCGTCAGCTTGTTTGCCATTCTAAGTTGCATAAAAAAATTAAATATCCATTTGAAGATGTTCATTATAATTACCTAAAGAAGTATGATGGAAATCGCTAATCGCTTATAACTTGCACGCTGTCACGATTCGTCCCCGAGGAGACATTTCAGCAAACTTACATCGATTGAAGACATGACCACTGTGTTGGTAACACGACCCACTGTATTGGCATTTTCGGGCTAGTAGATTGGCAATCGTGTATTGTACAGAGCCAGCATCGTGTTCGTGTATCAGGAGTTTGTACGTAATATTGGGTTATAATGTTAACACATAGAACATTACATTATAGTATTTAGATACATACATACATACATACATATTTGTCACGCATGTCTCCCATTAGGGTAGGCAGAAACAATGGAACTCCAAATGCTTCAATACAAACAAACCTCTTTCGCTTCTATTTAGTTACCTTTTTTAGCTGTTTAGTTACTCAATCCCGGCATCGAATAGGCCATCCCTTCCTATCCTGTGGGTGTCGTAAGAGTCGACTAAGCAAGGGTGAAGGATGGGCAGCAGCGTCCCTCTTATAACATCTCTAAAGCCTGACTGCGGTTGCCAATCCGCTTGCCAAGTGTGACAACTACTGGCAAAACCCCCAAGGGAGGCTTATGTTCAGCAGTGGACAGTTAAAGGCTGGCATGATGATGATGACGATTTAGTTACCATACTAGTCTTAACCTGCGACACTGCAAAATTGCCTATGTCCTTTTTCATACCATATAGTACGTGTATAATTATATACAATTTTTTTTATACAACTTAGAATGGTAAACAAGCTAACGGCCTACCTGATGGAAAGTAGTAACCGTCGCCTATAGACATGAGCAGTACCATGGATATAACAAAGTATACTATTTCGCCCATGATACCCCATGCGTTGCCATTCCTGAGGACTCAGGTGTTATTCCGCTGTACCCTGTAAGTTCACGCCATATCCCACCCTTCAAACCGGAACACAGCCATGCAAACACAACTGCTTCATGGTTGAAACACGAATGGGACAGAGGTACCCAAGCAATCGACTTTTGTACAAACATTTGGACCTAGAAAGATATTTTTCTATTAATATCTCGTTGTAAAAACAATTTACTTCTAATATAATATCGCGGTAAAGACAGTTCACACGAATGGGACAGAGGTACCCAAGCAAACGACTTTTGTACAAAGTCTCCCTCTGGTAAAATTCCGTAATAATTAGTCGAGTCGTTAAAGCATCAAAAGGTCACAAACAAACTCATCTTGATATTTATAGTATTAGCTTTCACCCACGTTCGCATCATCGAAGTGTCTTAATCGACTGAAATATAAAGTAGCCTATTTATTTATTTAATACAAAAATCCACAGCTCTTAAAAACAACTTACACGCTAAGTCTCTTATAAATACAGCCAATAACGGATTTCATATACTTGTATACTCTTACCTTTACAAAACAAGTGAAATAGTTGTCCTTGAGTTTGGAGCCTGGTGATTTGTAAGACGGATTATCTTAGTTCCGACACCAGTCTCTCACAAAGATTGTTTTAAATAACCTATGTTGTTATTTTGTGAGAGGAATAAATATATATTTAATTATATAAACGAAATACCAGAGGGAGACTGTACAAAAGTCGATTGCTTGGGTACCTCTGTCCCATTTGTGTTTCAACCGTGAAGCAGTTGTGTTTACATGACTGTGTTTCGGTTTCAAGCGTAGGATATGGCGTGAATTTACTGGGTACAGAGAAATAACACCTGAGTCCTCAGGAATGGCAACGCATGGGGGGTATCATGGGCGAAACAGTATACTCTGTTATGTCCATGGTACTGCTCATGTCTATAGGCGACGGTTAGCACTTTCCATCAGGTGGACCGTCAGCTTGTTTGCCATTCTAAGTTGTATAAAAAAAAAAAGAAAATTGTAATTCTAAAGCAAAATAGGCAAGATAGAATGGGGGTATGTAAGTAATGTAAGAAATAACCTATAACAATGAGTGTCTCGTTATGTTGTGGTGTCAGGTGGTGGTCAGGTTGATAAATATGTAATTTAAATAAAATCTATGTTGCTGCAGTTCAGGCCTATGTTCTTTTCCTCCCCATATAGTACAAGTACGTATATATCATTTCATAGCAACTGGAAGTTAACTCGCCCACACATTTATAAATTAATAAGAATTTAAGGACAAACAACAAAACAAACCCCTTTTTGAAACTTAAAATACATATATACTTGTTCAAGAGACTACACATCAGGCTTAGACAACAATAGTTTATTAGAATCAATGAGTCGATTTTGCATTGCAACAAGCATTTTACATCCAATCAACACAATAGCAAATAGAATAGACAAAAAATAAAACTAGTTCGTAATTTATTTTCGGAAGAAACGGGTCTCAAGTAACATAGCTGTATATCAAACGAATTGGAAATCAGCTACTTTTGGAAAATTCAAAACGTAAATCACTGAATGTGTCTATTACCATAAACCAAAGGGAGCCTTGTACAAAAGTCGTCTGAATGAGTATCTCAACCGAAACACCATTGGTGTATCTGTCGTAAAACAACTGTGCTTACACAGTTGTGTTTCGGTTTGAAGGGTGGGATACGGCAGTGAAATTACAGGGAACGGAGGCATTACACCATAGTCCTCAGGAATGGCAACGTTCGAGATTCGAGAGACATTCCGAGATCCACGGTGCTGCATGCCCATATATGCGAGTGCGTCAGCTTGTTTGCCATTCTTCAAGTATCATAAAAAAAAAGCTTCGTTAACTCCTTGTCGTGAGAAGCTGCGACGTTTTACATCTCTTTAGTTACAAAACAATAAAAACATCGTAAATACTACAGAGGGAAAGGCGATTTATAGCTCTCGCAGTGAAATATTGAAGCTGTTGCAAAACCGCGCGCCGTTCGTCACACAACGAACTAACCGACCGACCCTGTACCAAAGTTGTTACAAGTTCTCTCGTAAAATGCTTACCATTGAAAAGTGGGGGAAACATAAAAAGAGCTTAGTAAATACGTTTCAGAAAAGGATGATAGTCTGTCTTCATATGCAGTCTCTTATAGGCAGAGAGAATCGAGTTCCAAAGGCAAATATAGGAATAGAAAAATATTTATTGCCAGAAAATATTAAACTTATATATATATATATATAAGTTATATTGTATTTTATTAGATAGTTATATTGTAATTTATTAAATTTCCATTAAAAACGATTGCCGCTTTCTTTATGTTTTTAAGAGCACATAAGGTTGTAATATATCGGGTACGTTATATCAGAGGTCTTCGTCCATAATGATCGCAACCTAGAAACACTGAGGGGAGAAAGAATTGTTAGTAATAGGGATTAGTAACCCCATTGCTAGTAATATACGCTGTCAGGTCGTCTCCTCACGGTTCTCCCTGGAAACCTATGTGCATGATTTATTTTTGAATTTGTCACGATCAGTCAACGGATCTGCTTTCATCCTCACCTATCATCCCTCACTAGTGTCCCACCAGTGTATACCGATAGCGCAGGCGGGGCAACCATTTCATTATCATCCATTAAAAAAAATTTAGAAAGACAACACCAGAGGGCGATATAGAAGTTTCAGTACTATCGTACTTTGATTCT